GGCGCGCCCCCGGGGGGGGGGGGGGGGGGGGGGGTTTGCATTTTAAAATCTTGAGTAACACACTAAACTAACCCCCCAAGAGGGGATTAGTTTAGTGTCTCATTCAAGTGTTTTAACCCTTGAGTAGTTGTTGCGAAGCGTTATTTGTTTACTCAGCATTGTTGTGGAACACAACAATGCCGAGTATAAACAAATATAAGGTGACATTGTTGATGACGTCATTTTTTGACGACAAATTGGTTGGCGACAATGAGGAATCACCAAATTTTTATAGTAGATTCTCCCATCTATACCTAGTTCTCTTTTCACGCATGAGATTCTACAGCTAGTGATGCTTGTACAACAAACTGTGACAGCAGTAAACATTCAAAATTCTTAAAACTTTCCTACCAGCTTTTCGGAACTTCCTACATATATGGGGAAAATGAACGTCACACATGCAAAAGAAGTCAGAAAAACATCTGAATTCTGAGAAAAGAAGCAAAATAAATTTTAATACCTTCTTTGAATCATTGAAATATGTGTCTCCTGCTTTCTGGTGTTTTTTTGAACGAGCATGGGCGCGGAGATCTGTACGATGCGCACGAAATTCCTTCTTACAATATTTACAAAATGCTTTATGCCTTTTGTCAGGAACTGGTGCTAGCCAACCTACAAAAACATCCAATTCAATTAATGCAACAGGCAGCCCTATTTAAAGTTTGACATTTCAAGTTTTCACTGTGGTGACATACATATAGAAAGGTTGATTAAAATAATTTCAGATCTCTAACTTTCAGACAAAAACTTTAAACTGAGTCAGAAATACTGTATTCATAATATGTAAAAACAAAGTTAGGATTTAGGTATTATTTATACACAGTATAAGCAAAAATACAGTTCAGCTTTTTGAGCAAGGTCAAGATAATACACTTTAATGTGATACATTCTTTGAACAAAAAAACAAAAATTGAAGACGGCCATTTCAGAGGTCCTTGCTGCCTCCATCGTTCTACCAGACTACGTGGCACAACAACCCTGAAGACAGTCATCTTTGTACTCACTGCCATGAGATACTCAAATCCTACAAAATAAAAATTCTATATCTTTACAATATGGTACCCAGTCATTCATGCTTCTGTTCAATGTTTTGTCCTACTAATATTATCTATCAACAGAAGTCTGTTGTTTTGCTAAGTAAAAATAAATAAAGGTACATATTCACAAAATAGTGTTGGATGCGCAACGGTTTTTTTTTGAGCCAGTGACCTTACATAATATCCAAATTCTTTGATGGTTAAGATAATTATGTAGCTTATAACAGCTTGTTTGATTGTGGGTAAACTCAAAATCAATGACAAATATAATGTACTGTAATATGACACCTGAACAATTTATTTTCATGATTGGGCAGACTTCTCAGTTTCTCCCTAAAATCAAAAATTGGTGACTGGTTAGGTTTAAGCTGACTTATACTAATTTCCACACTTTACATCTGCCAATAGTGACTCAACCCAAAGTCATGTTCTTATATCCATGTGAGTAACATTAACCCTTAAATTAAAAGATCAAATTCTCAGAACATGCAAGAAGTTAATGCCATTTTACCATTCCATCCGTTCCCTAGCTATCTCATTTCCTACTCCCTGTGTTTCACATGACATGGCAGTGATTGCCTAGGTCTGCATATGTAAAGTTTATTAGCCATGCACATCTTCAAGACTGTATCTCTGTGAAAGTGCTACTTTTTCAGATGGTGAGTGGAGGCAGATTTTCACAACAGATGTTGGAAAACGATGCAAATTTTGTTGAAGCAAGGCAGGAGTGGTTTGATGAAGAAATCCTCAGTGAAGTTAACAATGAACTACACATTAAGAAGTGACCATGACCTAAATTTAGAACTGTTCTAAACTGAAGTAAAAAGTTCTTTGCTACACGAAGGAAACAAATTTAGGAAAGTTCTTATTGGTAAAAACAGATTCAAATGGGCACCAGTTAATTTGTCGCAAGAAGCAAGATGCCAAAGCATAATATAATCATTTAACTTCCTGGAATCCTGTTTCCAGCCAGAATTAGAACACAAGCTCAGCCACTTCAGGCATGGAATTTACTAATAACTGATGAAATTCTACAAGATATTGTGCACAAAAAAAGTAAATTAAGAAGATGAGAATGCAACTGATATGCACAATGTTGACATCATTGAACTAAGAGCTTGTATGGGGCTGTTATTTTACATTGCTGTTTTTAAATCAAAACATCAGAGTGTAAGATAATTATTTGCTACAGATGGCACTGTCATGTGACGAATGCAATAGATTTTCAATCTTGATTTTAATGCAAAAGTTTGATAACCCAAATGAAAGAGATGAATGCAGAAAGTTTAATCTTGCAAACCCAGTGTCTAAGCTCTTTGGGAAGTTTGTCAGTAACTGTCAGGCTGTATACTCAATAGGATGTGCTGACAAAATGTTGGTGAGCTTCCACAAAAACTGCCAGTTCTAAGTGTTTATGACAAGTAAGCCTATCAAATATGGTATAAATATCATGTGCTTCACTGATGCCTGAAATCTATACTTTCACAACGGGCACATTTATATCAGCAAGGATTCACGAAGTGAATTTATTTTGTTAGTTGGCTGCAGTTAATTCGAATACGTTAAGGAACAACTACACAATTTCCGTGTAATTCAAATACCAAAAGAATATGATAAGTTAGATCAGAACCTGTAAAGCATTCTGCGAAATAAAGTGATTCCAATCTACAATTTGTCAACAAATGTTTCACCACCTGGCACATTAATATATTTCTAACAACTATGTTACACTTGTACCTTTAAATATGGGTAGTTTTTCCCAGTTTCCATTATAAAATTGGAAATAACGAGGCGCACTATTTCCTTCGCACTTCGACATTACCTGCTTTGAACACAAACCGATCGAACATTACCAATCACAGCACGTATCTCTGGAGTACCGGATTATTTTGGTGCAGATGATAATTATATGCAAAAGACATAAAATGTTACATACTGCCATCTATCACAACAGCCTATTACATTGTGGTAGCGGTACCTCTGTCGGTAACAAGCTTACCTAGTATTCGACTTCCATTATTTTGATCGGAAATTACACTGAATTAATTCGTTTCAAACATTAAATCTGTCATCACAGTGGCCACGCAGTCTCAAGCGAGGAACACATAATGCAGGCCAATTTCTGTATTTATTATTTCTAATAGTGCTATGGTTCGTCAATCGCCAATCCCCCGCCCGAACTTCCGACTTATTCACTCAACTACAACAAACTTCGAACGCTAAATGTGGCAGACTACAGACACATGACGTAGCCTAGCTTTCTAATAGTGCTCTGGTCTGCCCCGCTTCCTCACAAACTTACCTGTCCATCCCGTCAACAACTGCAAACTACTAGTATATGACACTTCACAGTACAATGCACAGATGACGAAGGTTAAAACCAAAATGTACTTTTATTCTTCTGTCTTAACTGTAGAGGAATACGTAGTAGATACCATCACAGATATAACACCTGTTTTAAATTTATGTCAACTAGTAGGAGTTTTTAAATATTGCTGTCATAAATTTATATGTATAAGCTAACCCGAATAATACAGAGATAACAAAATTAATGCAGGCACCCTAAAACCTTTCTGTGGCTCACATAATGCCCTGACATCTGTTTAACCATTAACACCTAATTTGTCTTTTAAGACATGACAGTCGTATCGCTAGTTGGCCCACCGTGGCCGTGGGTTTCGCGACAGCAACATATTCTTGAAGGGTTCATGTCATTTACTGACATGCTAATATGTGCCTTCTATGATTCAATGGTTCATTTCACCGTACCTTTATCATTGGTGTGGTCTAATATTATGGTCAAATGTCCGCTGCCTATTTGCATTATTTTCTCCTATACATAAAATTTATTATCAATAAACAACCAACAGGTCCCTTGTGAGGGTATTGTATGAGTGAAGAAATTATGGCACGAGGACTGTTAGACTAGGATTCAGAGAGAAGCTTGAACACGAGGAGCCAGCTATTTGGAACAAACATTTTTGCTGATTAAAAACTGATAATCAGAATAGTTCGCAGATGATGAGAAGCAGTATTATTAGATAGGTACAAGGATTTATAAGACCCAGTGTTGGGTTGGCTTGTAATGAAATACCTGATATCTAGGATTATTCTTATTCCAGTGAATACTTAAAGCTCTTCCTTGCAGTTTTTTGCCACATTATTATTGGAAGAATAAAATCTGTAGTCGTCAATGTTACATCTTACAAGCAATTAGCAGCCTGCCACTGGCAGGTATCACAACTAAAGAGATGATAAATTTTCAGTGCATCTATTCTCTATAGAGGGCACAAGTAGAGCTACTGTGCACAACAAACAGTACTAGACATGTCTAAAGTCATTACTCAAAACCTGTTTGTTCATGTTTTAATATTATGCTGATAATACAACCTCCCCCCACCTATGACAAATGCAGAAGTAGAATCGTCTGTGGAAAATAAGAATAATATGTACTTAAATTTGCAATATTTCAAGGTGTACTATCACTGATAACCTCTACAAGGGGGAAATTTTTAACTGTGACATAAGCCACAAAATGTTGACACTAGAGCCCTGAAAAGAAATAAATAGGATATTGTTAAGTGGAGATAACAGCAATATCACAGCAGTGTGCTGGAAAGACTCTTTAGTCTTTCCAGCACACATGAGTTCATTTTTGATGTGAATAATGCTTTGAACTCCAAGTAGTGCAAACTATAACACACACAAGCTATGCTGATAAAGGTGACAGGATGGGCAAGAGGTGTGACATAAGTCGCAGAATGCAGTAATAATAATAATATAATACATGTAACACATATTAAAAACAAAATGTATTTCAGAAATAGCTGCTGCACTATGTACGTCAGGGGCAAGGTTTGTCTTGGGTACACAGAAGTAAATACCCTATAAATTGGTGAATAGTTGGAACAATAATAATAAAGGTTGTAATAAATTACTTTATAATACAAAAGTCATGTGAAATAAAATGACAATTAAGGAAACAACTTGTCTGTGGCCTTTTCCTTGCAGTGAAAGAGAGGACTGTAAATGCAAAGAATACAATGAGGTAGACTGAGCCTAACATCATCCTAGTTGCCCTGTCTGGAGAAGAAGCACACGAGGAAACATCATGCAGTGAGTGTATACTGTTGTGAGGCCCGTGGTGTTGGTCTGTGCATTTCTATGTGCTGAAAACTGTACCAAGCAAAATTGACCCTCAAATGGCAGACTGTATTATGGGGGGAGAAAAGTTGGTTGAACTTATCTCTCTGTGGTATACAGCAGGAACAAAGAATTCTACAGTTGTTTGTCTTGGGGAAAAAAACGTTTACATGATGCATTCACATTTTAAGGCAAAGGGAGTAATAATATCAAAATATTAATCTAACGATAGCAGAAAATGCAAATATGTGTAACATTCCTTTCCGTCACAAATACTCTTGCAGAGCAGCAGCTTGAGAAACAGATCCTAAGTGACAGTAAACATTTCTGTATGTATTTTATTTCATTATTGTATGTGGGTTTTAAACAAATATACATTATTTTTACAGGAACATGCACAGAGTAGTGTAACTGTGGGATTTAAATTGGGTAACAGGGAATTTAAAATCCTGGTAATTTAAAAGTTAAAAAGAAAGGAATAAATACAATAATTATTTTATATTTAATGTATTAACATAAATAAATTGTTGCTACAACCTGAAGTTTACAACAATAGAAAGTTATTACTATCTGTTGGAATCCTTTTTAAAAAAAGTACTGTATATAAAATCCTTCCTGTTATTAGTAAATCTTTAAACATTTTAGTAGTGTATGTCTGTAAATACATTTACATATTTGTTACATTTTTTTTAAAATTTTTGTGAATTGTCTGGGAAAATATATTTCCCAACCAACCTGGATAATCATGAGTCTACTGTATAACTAATAATTAGGCATACCAGACAATGACAGATGCTCACTACTTCCTGATGAGACATCGCAGGAGATTATGTATTTTTGGCTCTTGCCACACACATGGGATGTAATGAGTAAGACACACTGAAAGATTACTGGTCCACTTTTTGAACAGTTCAATGTGCTATTTTGCAGTAAGATGATGAAGCATAATCAATTTTTTCAGATACCCAGGCATTTTTGTGATGATAATAATGAAGCAGTCAAGAATGACAAGAACTGAGACAGACTTTTGAAAATAAGATCTCTATTTGATACACTCAATGACACTGATGCTAAATTGTACAATGCATTTGAACATTTAACTGTGATGAAGTCACTGTGTTGATAAAAGGGAGTATTATTTTCAAGTAATACATACCAAAGAAACATAACCGCTGTTGTACAACATTTACAAACTTTGTGACATGACAGGCTACATTTACAATATAAATGTAAAATGCAACACAGGCAACGGCAGCAACACAAGATGGTGAGAAGTCTCACAAGGGGAGTGGAAGGGGTTGGCCACAAAATTTATACCGACAATTTTCTCTCCTCTCAATATTTAATGACCTGAACACAAAAGCTATCTACCAACTGTTGTGCAAATGTCAGAAAGAATCGTAGAGGAATGCAGGAGGCCTTTGGCAGTAAGACTCTTATGGGGTGATAGTGTGAGAAGTGTCTTGACATCAGTGATTTGGAAAGACAAGCAAGGCACGTGTATACCGACAAATGAGCATAACTATCAACAGATGGCAACTTCTGTGATGAACACAGTAAACTCATAAACACGCCATCATTGAAGACAGCTGGCAAACTGGCTATGTTGACAAAGGTGACACAACTGTCAACAGCTATTCAATTAGCTTTATAACATTTTAATGGACACAAGTTATTCTTTTACTTCCTAGATCTAATATTACTGAACATTTACATAATTTTAACATCCTATAGTAGCCAGACTACCAAAAATTTACCTTACAAATAAATACGGTTAAATTTGTGTGTAACAAAAACAAGGCGTTCTTTAGTAATCATGTGGCTAAAATATTTTCTGCTTGTGCACATTAATCAAAAGCCTCTGAAGCCAGAAAGTTATCCTCTCATCATAATCATATTCTTATAACTGTCAATGAAATTTTAGCCACCTGTATGGACACGGTTATATCCCCAAGTTACATTCTGATCAACACACTAATAGTTTGAGCACTGAAATGTCCTATTCCAATGTGATAGAAGTTAACAGGCAGGTTCTGAACAAATGTGTGCGTAAACATATAATTTCTAAATAGTCAACATCACGGGAAACATTAATTACCACCTTCCTTTTGGCATGCTACTTTGAATAAAAATCGGAAGTCACATTAATGGTAATACAAAACAGTTAAAGAAATTTCACGCTCTCTATTCTATTCCAAATGTGTGTTCAAGTAGGCACTTTTTCATTCAAAACATGAAAAATTTAAATGTTAATGTTATGAATAAAGATCTCACAGAAGCAGAGTGAGCTTTATTACCACAATGGCAGTCATGCCAAACTCAATGTGACAATTTATTGATAAATCAATGAGTATAAATAAGGATTCTACGCTGACAAGGGGAACCAGGTGATTGTTATCTTCCAGTTTTGCAGTGTGGCAGTGGACCCTCCTCTGCTTTCCTGGCCAAAATGTCAGGTGTAGTCACTCCACTGTTTTCTCTTTGGGAAAAACAGTTTTATTTTTCACTTTCTTTACTGTTACTTCATACTCTTGTAATGTGCCACATTGTCACCCCATCTGTGATAGCTCAGGTGGCAACAGCATTCTTACTTATGGCGTGGCTGACCTGTGTTCCATTAACAAGTAAGTTTTTCTATTATGGAGTCTGTCAAAGGTAAAGGTGAGCACCATACCATGAAGATGTATGATGGGGCACTTGTCTGTGTGAATGACTGGTGGTACAGCACGATGTGTATGCTGGCCCAAGGTTCATAGGTCATACAAAGTTCAATCATTATACCTAAACATGATAATGTACATCACACCGCATAAATTAAAAGGAATCTTTACTAAAAATTAGTTTCAGGTACATGAAGGAGACTTGGGATTTGAAGAAACTGGATGGCAATGGAATTAAATTAAATTAAAGCTGTCCCACTATATGCCATTTAGGTGCATGGGGGGAGAGGTGGTATAGCCCATACTCATTCTTTACCTCAGCACTAGATGGCGGAGAGTGGTCAGTATCACGCCCTGGCCACACTTTACCCCCGGGAAAGGACCCTGGTACCCATTGGATAGGAGGCTGGGTGGGCCCCAGAGCTGGTCTGGATGCAGAGGCTAGAGGAAAAATCCTCTGCCCCCATTGGGGATTGAACCCTAGTCATCCAGTCCATAGCCAGTCACTATATGACTGAGCTACCCTGGCTCAGATGGAAATGAATGGGATTCATTATTCTTAAGTAGTTCACAATGTGATTTCCATAAAACAGAAACTATATTTACAACATAAAGATTCTTTAAAATTTATTTTCCTTAGAAACAAAGAGGTAATGCTGAAAACAGTAATCACATGTACAAATCTTCCTCATAGTTTCTTTGCACACTTTGAACTTTTGTGTACTGTAGAAAATTTGTTCACCTTGAGCCTTACATAATGAACTAACACCAACACCATTATGCATTCACATGTTATGATGCAAACACCTTCACCATGGCAATGATATGACTGTATCTTCTGAACTCTTTTCACAAAGACTTGTCTGTAAATATGTACAAAGCAGCAGAAATACATCAATGTTTTACCAACATTTTTCAAAAAAACTTTCATCACAAAAGAGAAAACAAGCTAGAAACTCCCTTAAAGCCAACATTATAAGTAACTTATGTATTTAGTATAACAATAAGTAGTATTTGTGTATAAAAATCTGAGAAGTCTCCATTTACTAAACAGGAATAAAATTCTGGACATAAGGTTCATTCACTATGGAGAAAAATTGCTTTAAATTAAACCTTTGACCACCGTGTGGGTTTATGCATATCACAGCATCTCTCTTCCCCTGTAATGTACAGAATTTTATAATTCTTCTAATGATATTTGTATGGCCAGTGACAAACTGTACATACTTACCATCGTTTTACAAGCATTTGAATTTACGTACTTGTATGTTTCTTCCAACACACAAAGCAGAAATCCTCAGCAGTCAAAGGTTTAAGGTAGGGAATAAATTTCCCAGTAAGAATGAGAGGATTTAGGAGTACAAGGGTGGTTCAGATTTGATCCAGAATTTCAGTAGTTTTTTGATTTTTGTCCTAAAAATTCTAACCTGCACAGATGAAACTAGTGTAAATATGCAGATGGAGAGTACCTCAAGAAAAATACAGAACATAAAACAAATAAGATGGTTTACAAAGCATGGTATGATTAAAAGTTTGGGTCAAATCTGGATGACCATAGTATTTGCTGCATGTAAGTACTTCATGTCACAATTTCATAGATATAACTTGATAAAATATTTATAGAAATGAAATAACAGTTTTGTGGTAAAATGATCAGACATGATGACTGTATCATGCTTTTCCTTCAATTATTCAACAGAAACTTTACTGTTACTAGATCATTTGCTATTCCTGTTAGTTTCCAGCTGTTATATTACATTACTTGCAACTGCCATCACTGGAATGTAAGCAAGACACAAGACATGTGTGAGATGAAACTGTCACAGAAACAAGTCTTTCTGTTCATAATCAATATGCTTTTTAACTAGATTCGTTGTTGCTTACTTAAAAATAGGACTTCCAACATCAAAGTTCAAGCATTACTTAAAAAGGAAAATTATACTATAACAGTCAACAACAATTATTGCATTGATCAGTTGCATGTTGAAATTGCATTGATTTACATTTGTAAGAGTCAATTTACATGAGGGAGGGGCATATGAATGAAACACAGGGTCCCACACACACGAAGTCATTGTAGTTCTATCCTGCCTACTCTTCAAATTCCCTCTGACCTTAAATTTTTCACAACAGGGCATAATGGTATATCACTCCACAACACGATTCATCCTAACAAATTGTCATGCACAATGCCAGCTTAAAAATGGACAAGAAGTTAAAATAAAACAATTACTTTAAAAGGTAAAAGATTTACAAAAAAAATCTTCTTTTCAAGGCATAATATAAATACATAAAGATTCAATATGCACCAAAATTCAGGTTCTCTGGAAAGAACCCACTGGTTATTGAGATGAGATAAGAAGCAACATATGATGTCATGATACAGGTAAGGAGAGAGTACAGCATTTAAACATTTCCTGTGTTTTATGTGAAACAGACCTGTTAGGGTAGGACCTTATAAACAAGAACCACTGATAATACTCCATAACACATGAACATGCTCACCCCCACAAACTCTACTGCTGGCTTACCTCTCAGCCCAGCCATTTTTAGCAGCACAAGAATATTTTGCTAATATACGGCAAAGAAATGAAACCTATACATGCTCAAGGAATCATAAAAGGTAAGCACATGCACCATCTAGCAACAGATGAGAAGACTATGTGCTCTTCCAATGACATGTTGCTATCTGACCTACACTAGTCCAGTAAAAGCAGCAGTAAACAAATAAACTGAATGGAATATAGGGGTAAATGTGTTAAGTAAAGTATCATGGTGCATGATTTACAAAGGAAAAAGTTCTATTTCTGTACAGATTCTGCAGATCCAAACAAATTCTCCAGTGAATAAAACAATCTCAACAAAAGATAAACAAGACGAGAGATTCGGGAGAACACGCTGCGCACTGCCGCTCAGTCACGTGGAATGCCTGCTGCTGGGTCCCTAAGCATGTACAACATTACTGCTTCTGATTCTTCTGTCGTTGCTGGAGCTGTCTCCATTCTAGGAACAAACTCTTTATGTCTGACAGTGCCTGTTGTATATGCACTGCAAAGCGGCTTGAGTCCTGCAGGAGCAACGCAAGGAATAAAACTTCAATGCATTCCTCTGAAACACTTCATTTTATTTAAATACTTTTATTTAACCATGTAAGAGGAAAGCAAATTTTGGTCATTTATAATAAAAAATATATACTGTAACTAGAGAAGAATCATCTCAGAAAGAAATAAATCTACGAAAGGAAGCAAAACATGCGCAACAAATGTTGGCCATGTCATTGTTCACATCATCTGCAATGTATCAGTCAGTCCGGTTCCTGTTTTCCTAGCATTTTGAAACACACAAAATAAGCTCCAATACAGATGTGTGCTGGGAGGTGCAAAGAGGCAAAATAAAAATGTCAGTATCATAACAGTGATACCTTAATACCATACAATAAATATATAAAAATGTAAGACAGTATAGTCAATATAACCATTTAAAATGTGGCAAAATTAATATATTTTAGATTGGAACAGATCAAACTTATTCATAACTAAGTTATGAATAAATTAAATTCTGGGAATGCCAGCTATCAATGAGTCCATAATCTTGTATTTTCCAATCTGTGAAACAACATGACTACTAAATTATAATATGGATGCAAATCATTGTCCCTAGCCCTATGTAAAAAAAAAGGGGGGGGGGAGAGAAGAGAAAGAAAGAAAAGAAAAGAAAAGAAAGACTGTTGGTACTGGAGAACAAATTGCTGAGGAGAGTTTTTATACCTAAGAGAGAAAATGTAGCAAGAGACTGGAGAAAATTACACAAAAAGGAAATCCATAATTTGTATCCTTCAATACATATTATTAGGACAATAAAATCAAGGACAATGAGATGTGTGGACATGTAGCATGCATGGAGGAGATGAAAAATGCAATCCAATTTGGCCAGAAAACTGAAGGGAAGAGATCACATGGAAGAGCTAGGTAGAGACTACAGGATAATACTAAAATGGATCTTAAAGAAATGGCATGAAGAAGTGGAACAGACTCAACTGGATAAGTATGTTCTGAGTCCAAACAGATGGGTTATTTTTGACCAAGTAACTATCAGATTCTCAAGAGGAAACCTGTTTCAAGGAGTTAAGTTACATTTAAACTTACAGTTTCAGGCGAGCTCCGCTTGCTTGTGATGTGGAAGAAGATGAGGTCCTCTCCTGCAATGATATATGACACTCCGTATCCATCGTCTGCAACAGGACCAAAACCTCCTCCCGCAGAGATGCATCTAGGATACTTCTTCAAGTCAAGTTTTGGTGTCTGTCCATGAGGTGTTTGGGATGTAGATAATCGCCAAGGTTCACTCAGCACCTCTTTGAGAAATGGAGAGTCTACCTCCAGATATTTAGATACCACATACAGACAGAAAAGGTGACGGTCAATTCCCTTACCACACATAGCATCCTGGTATGCTACCTGATGTACATTGCATGCAATTTGCAGCAACCGCACACGCTCCTCCACCTACCAAAAAACCACAGCTGCATTATATGAATTGAATATATTTTCAGAGAAAACTATGTAAATGTGAGAGTAAAAGTCACATAAAGAATGCTACGACATATTAACATTCAGATTGTACAGCATTTACAGTTTAACTTGACCAGATTCATCTCACCGACGCAACGTTTCCAAGCATAGCACGGACCCATGTTACTGACTCAATGGTGCAAGGACGTACAGTCTCAGTCCTCCCCTCACGGAACAGCCGCGTCATGGATGCTTCATACGTCAAACTAAACCGGCCAGCATCCTGTTAATTGAATGTATTTAGTAAGTATACAATGGTGTCCTTCATTAGAGTTTCATCTTCTTAGTATAACATAGCTTTCTCAACAGTTGTTGATATGTAATATTATTGTTCTTGCAGTCAAGAAGTTCCGGAGATTAATTCACTGTTCCCTTCCTTAAAATGTAAACTACCTGAACTTCAAAGGATATTTAAAATGTACCACTGCACCCCATTTAAAAACCTGAGTTGATGAAACATGTCCTGTGCCCACTGTTTTGGTGTTATGGTTGTGAGGGATTTTAAAAATTAAGCCAGGAAGGTATTTAAGTGTTACCACTAACACAACATTTTTTACACAACTGAAGACTATTTTAAGAATCTCACATAAATTTTTACAACAGAGTAACAATAGAATTAAGCAACAAATCTGTAACTGAAGGTTTTATTCACTGTCAAGGTTCCATTGTTGTACCTCCCCAAGTGCCTGATTATCTTGCATTTAAGTCTTTTCCATTAATAAAGCTTCTCAAATTTTATGAAATGAATTTTGTAAAACATCACACAAGGTTTGGATGTCCTTTTTGGATTCTATTAATGAGTATTTCTCAATGTGTTTGCCAGAAGCCTGGAATTCCATGAAAGAATACCATCTAATGGCAGACTACTCACTTCACAGTGCTTTTGCTAACACAATATATGTAACTTTATATATGACACTACTTCCAATACATTTTGCCAACATGTTCCCTCTTTTCAGTTTACTGACAAGTCCAAGGCACAGCCATGGGATTCCCATTATCCCCTCTGGTACCCAACATATCTGTGATGGCTTTCAAAGTCGAAGCCATTGACTTCACCCTTATAACGCTGAAATGCCGGCACATATACGAGGATGGTGTGTTCACAATTTGGCCACACAGACAATATGGATATGCCTACAAATATTTTTATAAAATATGTATAATTAATTTTACCCTGAAAGGATCAAGAGAACTTTTGATCTGAACATCACAAGACAGAACACATGGAATAAATTTTAGCCAAGTCCAGGAGCCTTCCATTTTAGAAGACAATCATGTTAAGCTCCAGTTAGTGTTAGCTTACCCTATAATAAGCCAGCTGAAGAGCCATTTGTATAAAGGCATCTGGACTTATGCGGCACTCCTTCATAAAACCCTTTCCATATGCACTGTGCATGTAAACTCGCAGGTCTACGTCATTCAGCAGGCTCAACGCTACCTGCAGGATGAAATGAAGCAACTCTACATCACTATAACTACAAAATGTAGAACCTTAAACCAAAAGAAAACAACAAGAACATTTTACATAAACTATAATTCTTTTGAGCAAATAATGAAAGCGGAATATTAATTTTCTTAGAATACTTAAAAATACATATTATTTCAAATGGCATTTAGAAGTTCAGGCAATTTGTTTTAAAAACAAAATGCAACTGTTTCAGTATTACACACCACAAAGGCTTTTGTTACAAAGAAAAATACATTATACTAATAAATGTATTTTAATCATCCAATGTTGAAGATAATTACTCTTAATTAGTCCACTCTTCCTTTTCCTCCCAATTTGCAGAGCAAACTAAATGGGCCCAATAATTACACAAAAAGTCCTTGTAAAAACCTTCCTATATCAAGGAAAATCTGGAAGAATTAAATCAGAGCTAACTACACACAGTACAACAGCAAAAAACTCACAAAATAACAAAGTTAAAATACAACGGTTCACTGATATTTGCTACATCAAGGTTCTACCGCACCTTCTTACCTGATATGACAAGTCAATTGCAGCAATGCAAGGTGGCAAGAGATTCCACTGTAATCTGATAGGCGCCGGAGGTGTGAATTCTGGGGTACCTTTTGTTCTCCCATCTTCTCCATATCTACAATTAAATTATAATTTATATTCATGGGATCAATAAATTGTAAATTATTCATCATCACATAAAAAACAAATACTGATGTTGAATAAAAGGACGAGTCTTGCAATATAACTTCATATTCAATTACCCACACACCTCAATATTTACTATACTAAACATAACATTAAAATACTGTAAACACTATTAAATACTACTAATTTATGATACTTCTTCTCATTCTTTTACACTGATCCTGATACTTTTCCAGAATTTTAACAGAAAATTAGATTGTATGCTGTAAGATATTCCCTATACATTAAAAAACAACAATTAGTATAATTGCTATTTTCAAAACACACTGTTACAAAACAGTATTTTTCATACGATTTTCACTCAGAATGTCTTTTGGCTACAAACAAGGCCACAAAATAGAATTTAATTGATTCTTGGGATTTCTAACAATGCTGTGGTATTAACATCTGGATGTTCTGCAGCATTAATATAGCAACTTTCAAATGATTTTGACAGTATGAGTACGTGATTTTTCATTTCAATTTTACTTCCTGGTATATCACTTTTCAAAAGAGCAGATGAGAATATACATATGAAATATTTAACATGGTAGATAAGAATATTATCAGCATACGAGTACAGTATTTGTACATGTAATTCTCCTAACCTGCAGTATTACATACAGAAATGTATGAAGGGGGCTGTGTCAGCAGACACCCAAGAATACTAAATGCAGTTTGACAACCACTGAACTTTGACACCTTTGCTGTGTACTTAAAGGATGAAAATGTCACAGCAATCTTTAGCCATAAATTTAATAAAATCTTCCTTTCTAAGAAACAAGAATTACATAAATAATACTATATTAACATTTACAGTGGTGCTATTCCCAAATGCAGATTTTATAAGTGAATTCCCTAAACACATAGTGCTACAGTTTCACTTCCCAGATGGAATTATTTTGTTTTTTAAATTTTAAGCCATAAAATTAAGAAGCAATTATAAAGCAAATGCAAAAATAAAGCACAGGACTGAAAGGCAGTGCATTACATTACTGAAGCAAATGTATCAATTTTTGGCAAAAAAATTAACAGTGTCACTTAAATTAACATCACTGTGCAAACCTCAAATTCAGCGCTCTACTGGGGCATACACTCTGACTTCATAAGACAATATAACATGACAGAAATGGACCATTTTAAACGGAAACCAACCTTTAATGGAAAATGTCTCTGGTCCCCAGTGTACAATATTAAAGTAAAACATAATAAATTCAAACTGTTCAACACATAAATGGGAAGAAAACCAGGGATTTAACAGAATACAATTCTCAAGAGTAGTAATTGCTTTCTGTTCATACAATTGTTCTGAAATAAGCCTCCTGGAATTTATCGCAATATGAAAGAGAAAGCTGTCATCCTGATCATAAACAAAATATATGCAGAATACTTTAATGGATTATTATAAAATAAATATGAATGTATACTGCATAATAACAATGTAGTTATTTGGGTCATAAAAATACTTAGGTTATGTATTGTGCAATTATTTTATTTATCAATGCAAACAAATATATGTGCAATTCTATATTTTTAACCACATATCAGCTCTCAGGTTGTGGATGGTTAAATAAGGTTTATGATTAAGGGATCTTTAAGAAACTGACACAAAGAGGAGGCCAAAATTTACTGAGAAGGTTGAACTGAAAATCCAATTCCACTATCAAAAGTTAATTTTTCTATGCCTATCTTAGTTACAGATTAATCTAGTGTGCCTTTTTTTCAATCAAAAGCAAGAATACTGACAAGACAAAGGTATGAGATACAGTGATGAAGAAAAGGATTACCATGAGCCAAGTGCCGAATACATGGGAAAGAATAGATTTTTGCCCATTTTGTGTACCAATCTCAAGAAGAATCAATTGCAGACTGCCGAGTCTGGGGAAAATATTTTACGAACAATAAGAAATGGCCGGCTATCTTAGATTTGAATAAAAATTAGGGCCTCATAAATGTAAATATTAAATTCTGTATTATAATGTAAAGTACACAGCTGTTCACTGATGATTTCAGTAGCAAATTCTAACTGCTGAAAACATGGATATTTTCTTTTTTAAATGGATCAACACCTGTGTCCACTAATAGGCTAACTCCTCAACATGAAATTTATGTTATAAGTCTGCACGAAAAACCTGTATTTTGAGAGACAAATTCATATTGGACATGCTGCTTCCCATCAGTGCCTTTCTAGTGCTGCAGCTTAACACACTTCCTTGTCTACTTTTCTTTAAGTCACGGTGCAGAGAGTGTTGCCTTTTGGCTGCAGGATTGCAAAATGAAATGTAACAGCCAAATTTATAAAATGGTGGAAAAGAGAACACTTCTTACCTGAACTGACAAATTTACTTTTGAAAACTTTTGTATAGCGTTCAATAAAAACTTCTCTTATATGCCTAAACTTCTGTCTTACAAATCTTAAAATACACAGTGAAGTATGCCAGTAAACTGAAACAGTAACTTCAGATATTTTAATTAATATCTTACCTCTTATTATAAAATAATGATCACTCTTACAATCAGTAATGCTTTATGAAAATGTGGCCATCACCTGGAATATCAACACATTGTACACAAACATGCAGCTCACACAAGTTATTAGTTTGGTAGCAAAGTTGCAAGAACGAGAGATGAATAAAAAGAAATGAGGTGCAGCGCTGTGTCATGACCTCACCCTATCATCGACCTTCCAGGAACAGTTTAGAGATACACAAAGAGGGATTTTAGTATGTATATTAAAAACAGATTTCTGTCAGAAAAATTAAACTTATACATTACATTCTGCCAACATTTTTTAATTCTTGCATGCTACTTACGCAAATTCAGGAAAGAAAACCTTAGTGCATGACAGTAAATTTTAAATAGATAAATTCTTTAATGTAAAGTAAATCTGATGAGTAAATGTTAATAATGTGACTGTGTATGTGATTTAGCCCATTAGTGCACATTGTTCTTGGGAAATATTGTGCAGATTTATTTGTATTTTATGCTACTTATTCACACACACATGCACACGTTATTATATCATATGTTACGAATCAAGTCATTAACTGCTTCTTGTTGCATGAATCATTTGCATTACTGCATTTGAAAATGGTGTGCTGTTCAGAGTTCAGAACACACACACTGCTCATACATTCTTACACTTGCTTGATAAAAGTCTAAAATTTTGGAACATGACAGAACTTAAATCACATGATGAAAAAGTTCTTGTTTCATCAAAGTAATTATAAATTTTAGCAAACTCAATTTTGCTGCAAAGCAATTGTGGCTGAAGGGCTATTCAGTAAATTCACACAAATATTTTTTATTAATTCTGGAAGAGAGATCACACAAAGAAGAGAAAATAAAAGATGACTACATGCAGCACCAACACTTCCCTATTTTCCAGTCTCTTACATAACTTATGTCATATTTTGTCCAAGCAGTGCAATTTCAGATTGCTTTTTTTCTTCAATTATTTTCCTGTCTTTCATGAACTGTGACAGATCATGACCCCATGCTTTTTGTAGTACCAGGGTTTAACAGAATGCAGTACCTCAAACACACGCTGCAGCTGCATCTGGTTTGACGTGCAGGTACGGAAGAGGAAAATGTGAAACTGTGCTGGAAATGAATATTACTGTCAACCTTGTTACGAACAAGTGGTGTACCCAAGTTTTTGGTTACAAATTCTTGGAAAAATGTTCACGGAGTAGTTGAGAAAATACAGTTATGTACAACTGACAACATTCATTGATAACTATTTGCAACTTAGCTTCCCTCACCATACCCCACCTGACGGTTCGCCTGTCCGAACATTTTGTATTTACTTCAGTCACACAAACTACGCACAAATATAAACTTGCTGCATAAATTATGTTGTACATTATAATGAATAAAGTAATATAAGGAAAGTGAAACTTTTAGAACACTGTTATGTACATTTATGACCTGCCAAGCAATTATTAAATGCAAGCAATGTCCTAAAGGTATAGCACAAAACCCAAACATATTCATGTTAATATCGCAATTATGTAATGTATACTGTCTATTTTACATAACCCAGATCATCATGCTGTAATAATTTGGAGAATTAGAAAAAAAAGTTACTTTGCACAGTGAGTGCCTATATGTCATGTCTACAATGCAACAGTTGTAGCAGTTAGAGAGTTACTTTAAGTATCACACCACAAACAATCATAACATTAACATATGGTTACCCATTTTCAAGTTCAGTTGCGACAATGTACTCCCACATGTGACTCATGACTGGCGCATCAGCCCTGGTAAACCAAGGAGAAACCATAACCAATTACACACAAAAAAGTTGAAGTCACTGAAAAATTTACATTGTAGTTGTCAGTGCAGGTCACCTGCCCATCCCCAATTCTGTTAACAGTCGACGTATCTCGAACCAAGGAGCCAACACCCAACATAAAGAAACTGAAAAATAAAATGTTTAGTAAAGACACAAACAATAGAAGAAAACTACTGGAGAAGGTTGTCTACTAAAAAGAAAAAAAAGCTAAGAATAATAGAAACAAACCACAAATGTAGAATGAAAATTAGTCAGAAAACAGAAGTTGGCAACTGAAAAGTTCATGGGATGAATGACAATGCAGACGTGACAGGATGCAAATGAAGTTCCAACATCAATGTCAGAACAAAAACTTGTTACTTGATTGGTAAAGGAAGAGTGATCTGTGTTTAAGCATCTGGCAAGAGAACAGAATTCGATTCAAGCGACTGTCTGTCTGACAGGAGGGAAAACTAATTAAGGACCAACATTTCCAGTTTCAGCGTTTCCTGACATACTTAACAAGGATAACTGATTGTAACTGCACTGGTACCAATGCTAATAAATTAAACTTGATTGAACCTGCTGTGTGAACAGTGATTATATAAAGTATGTTAATATTCATCTAAAAATAACACAAAAATTCAGTTATGAGATTAAAATTAAATGACAGAATTAAAAACAAGAAGGATGATGCGTGGAATCAGACCACTTCTAGTTCAAGAGCAAACTGAGCAAAACCGAAAGAAAGATGAAAATAATTCTGTCACAACACAGACACGAGCATCAAAAAGTTGAGAACATGAAGTCCAGCATTTGAATGGGTACGACTTCACAGAACATCCGACACGCAGATGCACGCCACGTGAACAGCAAGCATGAACAACTTGTGATCTTTGCACAAGCTGTTGGCACACTCTGCTAATGAGATGTTTCTTGGTGTGTACATGCCTTTACAGACACTTGTACCTCATGTCACCTGTGTTGTAGGTGGAGATCATCACCATTATCTTATCATCATCTACGTCAGCAATTAGGTTCCTTAAACATAGACCCAAATAATCTCCTCTTTTTCTTTTTGGTTTTACTTTGGGTGTGAGGCTTTTATCAAGGGAAGAACACATACAATCAGTTTCCTTTTATTTCAGGAAACATGCTAAATCTAGAGAATTATAAAAACTGCCCATCCAGAGTCTGTGACAGTGACCCAACAAACCAAATTTTGTGTCCGAATTCATAAAAAGGTTGGTCACTTCCATGCCTTGTCCATACAAATTATTATGGATCAGACATATTGTGCTGGAACCACACAGCTTGTTAAGATTTTATCCCAAACTTGGCAGCTTGAAAGACAGACAGCCTTTCCACAGAGTCAAAGACTCTTCTATACCAATATCCTGGTTTTGGGGGTACAAATTGTGTAAATTTTTGTTAAAGTGTTGAAGAATTGGATACATTTCGAAAATTTTGGCATATATATAAAATTTCTTTTTTGGGGGGGAGGGAGGTTATGAAGGGCAGGCAGTTCTTATTCTAGTGTGATCTTTGTGTTGGCTTCTGTGAAATTCTCTTCAGTACCCAAGATCTGTGATGCAATATAATCTTTCAATTAAGTGTATTTATGGTAGCAGTAACTGTATGAAGTCATCACCTTCAGAACTGTCTTCACAAGAAATTTTTCCACTAATGTCATTGTCATCTAGAAGTGCAAAATGCTCCAAATTTGCAAACCTGCCAGGGTGAGTGTGTGTGTGACATCTCGTAAGTCCATAGCATGCTGAATGTTAGTTTTGGTAAAAGTTTTATTTTCTTTGTCTGGCTGGTCTGTTGTCCTCCTAATGCAAGGTTATTGGTATACAAACCAAAACTTCAGTGCCTATGTCATAGCAAATTTCAAAAAATATCTCAATATGGTTCTTAGTTTGATGGCTACAGGCCAGAGAGTACAGCTTACAGGCGAATGTACAGCGTACGAGAAACGACCCATAGAAGATTTAAATGCCTGATGTATATGCGAGAGGAGGAAGAAGCTTAGGATGATGTCAAATTCCTCATAATTTTGTGTCACTTGTAATTTCTGGCTGCCCTGGCAAAAAAGTAAGGGTTTAATGCTGTCATTATAAGAACAACTTGTCTTCATCCAGTGGTTGCATACTGTTAAGTCCCGCAGCTAACAGAAAGATTTCAAAATTCAGATATGAGGACACTGACAAAAAGAAACTGAAAGAAAGGTGTATATTGCTTCAGTCTGTAGCCAGTGTTTACCCAATGAGAGACGTCTCCTCCTCCATGATGATGTACTCCCAGACATGTGACATGACGGCTGCATCCGCCCTGAAAAAATGCACTTATGGTTTACTCTGAAGGGACAAACAACATAATGAACAGAACATATGAATCTGGCTTAACAACCATTCATGTCAAGATGTAACCAATAGAACAATGACATCAAATGAAGAAAATATGCCAAAGGGCCTACACACATATACAAATTACTCCTACAACAGGAATTATATCTGGTATCATGAGCCAACAATGCTTTACAATACAGGCATACCTCGTTTTATTGCACTTCACAGATATTGCGTTTTTTACAAATCGAAGGTTTGTGGCAACCCTGTGTCGAGCAAGTCTATCGGCGCCATTTTACCAACAGCATGTGCTCACTTCGTGTCTCTGTGTCACATTTTGGTAATTCTCTCAATGTCCTTTTAGACATAATTCTATTGCACACTTAATAGACTACGATATAGTGTAAACATAACTTTTATATGCACTGGGAAACCAAAAAACTCGTGTGACTCGCTTTATTGCGGTGGTCTGGAACCGAACCCGCAATATCTCTGAGGTACTCCTGTACGAACTCTTTTCATAGTTAATATTTTTCTTACAATTTCCCGAGAAAGTAGTTTTCTTGCAGGCATTAACACCAACTTAAATTCTAAATTTTAAAATAAAAAGTGTGAACTATTGTGGATGCACATGCATGTGGTAATTAAAGTTGTCTTACTATAATGGTACAACAGTGACACTTGGTAATTCTCAAAGTAAACATTATGGTCAAAGTAAATATCACATACAGTGCAACCCTACGTATACTTTTCTGGAGACTGATAGAAACTGGAGTAAATTGAATGAAACATAAAAATTGTAAGATTCTTTCATCTCAATACTTTACTGGAATGCATACCAAATTATTACAATGGCACGACTGTTTGAATTACATTATTCAGAGTTAGTGCTGATAACAAATGTTTACTCACCAAGGACATGCTTCCCCACGTGTCTGTCACATTCTGTAATATGCTGAGTTTTTCTTTTAAAAAACAAGTTTTTCCCCTTCTGAATTGTCATCACACCTTATCTAACATGCAAATTCAAATAAGACAACTGCAGTACATGTAGCAGGCTCAGCTAAGATTGCAGCTGTTTTGAAATAAATTACACAACAAAAACTAAAATTATGCTTGCAGAGTAGACAACTACTGAAAAGAAAAGCCCACCAGTCACATGACTGGGATAACACCCCAAGAATTTCCTGTGAAGTAACACATATTTTGCAGGAACAAAAACAATAAATTAAAGGGGCTTAAAAGAATCATGTAAACTACAGAAAATGTGCATTCCATGAACATAAGTAACAGGGTTTACTGTTCAAAAGCAGTATGTAATTGGTTTTGTAAGACCAAGAAAATCACTGGTACTTGCAGAACCTGTAATGATCTGCACTGAAGGTATGTTATTGTACAATGCAACATGTAGCATGTTTGTTTATCATAAATACTGTACCTGTAACAGTACTCATTTTCCTGTTGTTGAAATACATCAAGTGAGAATAATCTGCTACTGACCAAACAGATAGTCCAGGTTCTAAGTCAGTAAATGTAAGCTGTATCTGGCAACTGACTTAGCAAGCTACAGTCAATCCCATGTCCCAGGAAACTGAACTGATGCATTTGATTAAAACAAGTGGCACAAATTTAAATATATAACGGTATTAGATAAACCTTTAGACATCTCAAAATTCTCTCTACAATTCATCTAATCTACTTTTCGACAAACACCCATAACATGCTGCTTTATAGTATATAACCTTAAATAGTGACATACATAAATGTCCTAGTCGCAGAGTATTACTACAACAAGAAAACTTTAAAATTTGCTAATTCCATAAACATTTATAGCGATACCTTAATATATTTTGAACTGAGAAGTGACAAGCATTTTTGGAATTTAGTCTCCTCCTAACTTCCTCATGAGTATCATTTTGATTTGTTATTGTTGTTCCCAAATATTTGAACTTTGTAACACTTTCAAAGGATTTATTAGCCAACCTAAGATAATTCTGCCCGCCTGTCTGCTGATGACGAGATACTAACATGTACTTAGTTTTTTCTGAATTTACTTCTAGCCCCACCTGTCTGCTAGCCTCTAGTAAAACTTCTGCATTCCTCTTTATTGTATTTATATCATCCCCAAATAAATTAACATCATCAGCATATGCCAATAGCTGATGTATCCCATTCAATTGCAAACCCTCCTGCCTATCTTGGACTTTCCTGTTGGCATATTCTAGCGCCAAGTTAAAGAGCAAGGGAGACAAAGCATCTCCTTGTTTTAGACCGTTCTTGATGAAGAATGTTTCAGATACATATTTACCTACACACATTTGTATTAGACTCATTAGCTTCTTTGGTATACCAAATTCAATAAGAATATTATACAACACTTCTCTCTTCACAGAGTCATAGGCTTTTTTGAAATCTATAAATAATTGATGTATGGTTCCACTGAACTCCCATTTTTTCTCTAGTATCTGACAAATGCAAAAGATCTGATCAATCGTTGATCTGTTTCGTCAGAACCCACACTGGTGATCCCCAATAATTTCATTTGCATATGGGGTTAATTTTGCCAAAAGAATGTTTGATGGAATTTTGTATGAGGTTGATAGCAGATAAATTCCTCGGTAATTACCACACTCAGTCTTGTCCCCCTCCTTATGAATAGGAATAATTATGGATTAATTCCATTGTTGTGGCATCTCTTCATTATTCCAAATTAACTGAATAAGCTTATGGATCCTCATATGCAACCCTTTGCCATCTGCTTTAATTAATTCTGCTGGAATCTGATCAATACCTGGAGATTTATAACATTTCAACTTCCCAATGGCTAGTTCTGCCATTTCATACATACTAGGTACATGTTCTATAGCACTTTCCAACATGATTCCTGTTAAAAGAGAATCAAATTGGAATAACTTGTGCACATTTTTATTATCATAAAAAGACAATACACGGTTCAGACTGCAGCTGTCACCGCTAAATTCGCATACAACTCAAATGACTACAAAAAAATTAATTTCCACTTTCAAACTGGGGTTTCCTTTGTGATTATCTAAACAGAGAATTATTCACTTCAGACAGAAACACACATTAGTTATCTGTTTGTTAATAACTCTTATTGTTTATCTTCAAAAAGAATTCAGTTAGTCTTCTATACCAGTGGTATTCAACCTGGGGTACCTGTACCCCCGGGGGTACGCAAAGACATCTTGGGGGTAAGTGGAATTAAAAAAAAAATTATGATAAACACTGAATAATCAGCAATGTAATTTATTTAAGATGTAGATTATATACTATGTATAACTTGAATTATACACCAACAACTTTGGGGGTACAAAGTTGAAGAGAAATTATATCTGGGGGTATGTGAACAAAAAAGGTTGAATACCACTGTTCTATACCACAATCAATCAACCTCAATAATTTTAAATTCATTACATGATTGAAAATCTATCAACATACAACAGCAATAAAAACAGACAGCCATACCACCTGAAGAACAGCAAATTCAATTTGATGAAGGAATAGCAGGTACTTACCATGAGTGCTCTGCATTGAAGCCAATCTGGAAATGAGGAAAGAAAACTTCCATCACATTGTAAACTGATCACCAGAAAATTTTTTGAGCTAGATCCTGTTTGTAATTATTTCTGTCAGTCATACAAATATTCCTCATACTTGACAATTTGAAGGGACCAGTCTGTATTTTCTCAAATATGCTGCACCCTTGAATAGACCTCACCCCCTACTGTGTTAATAAACAAAAAACAAAATAATATTTATAGAAGCATATTGAATAAATATGCATGCTGAATGTTAGGACCCTGGTACCCACTGAACAGGAGGCTGGGCGGGTCTCAGAGTCGGTCTGGATGCAGAGGCTATAGGAAATATCCTCTGCCCCCGGTGGGAATCAAACCCCGGTCGTACAGTCCATAGCCAGTCAATACAATAGCTGAGCTCCTGATACCTGTTACAAAACTGTTCTCTCACCACTGTTTTAAAGGAAGATTTATACAAGCAAACATCAGATACATAATCAATGTCAGCCCTCCAGACACATGCACACACACATTTGATCCAATACAGGATCACATCATGATAAATGCATCAAGTTTCTTTTGATTGAATTAACACAACTTTCACATTGACTTTTGGTAGTGTTTCTCTCTTAAAGGTGTGACTGGCAGAAATTTTCTGCTGTCCACCATAATGAGCAATATTATGGAGCACTGTTGTTTTTCAACATCAGCAGTTCTTACTGTAACACCCTTCTCAATTTTACTGTTCACTGTCATACTAAGAGACATTTTAAAATACATGCGTTTGATCAACATTATCAATCTAAAAAAAAGTGCAAGCACTGCTGCCGCTCACTCCAAACTGATAACATAATTTCAAAAACACAATAATTCCTGTGACAATTAAGGTTTTTCATGGTAGAGGCGCACCAAAACCCAGAACAGTAATTCCCATTCACATGCATGTAGAAGTACTGGGAAATATTTAGTTTTATCACACAAATAATTTACTCTAAGAAACCTCACCATCCACCCCAAACTTGCCTTGAAACTTGAGATCCATGTTCCTTTGCCGATGCTAAGGCATATTTTACTTGGTATGACACAGCTGAACTGACACTTCTCACTTACATAGCCTATTTCAGAAGAGTTTGCTTTCTGGCCAAAAGAAGCCCTTTGACTATCACTGCTTTGCAGCATCTTTTGCTTTTTTTTATTCAACCACTTATAAAACTTTCATTAGTATTATATTTTCCACAGGCAGTTCTATTTCAAATTTCTTCCCCCCTGCCCTCTGCTGAATATGGATTGGCTTGTGGATATGCAAAACAAAGAGGAAGTTGAGAAATAAGATGGTGCTTGGAATGAGTAAGGTTGCAAACTTTGCCACGACTGACAAGTTTTTCTTACTAGATACAAGTCTCATATAAAAAGGTTCTTAAGACACTTCTCTGCACTATACAAAACAATATGAAGGAAGTGATTATATATGTTTAAAAAGTACTTGGTCGCATTGTTCACTACCAGCATTAATTTTCTTACTTGTTAGACATGAGAGACGGTTACATGAGGAACAGTTACCAAATTTCGTAACACATAATGCATGCACTTCTATTTTTCTGAGAATATATTTTGTAATGTCATGATTTATTTTTTGTGGCTTACCCGTCCATTGGAGCCAATGCAGAGTGTGAAGGACTTGTCAAACCAACGGTCATATCCCTTCCCATGCAGTAGAATTTGTCCATAGTGGTCCAATTTACTTGGGTCATGCTACAAGACAGAATACCAGAACAAAAGTGTGTTTACAGTCATATGTTAAAAGAAAAACTATAAATCGCCACAAACTAAACTTCAAAATACAAGAATTTAGCATAAGAAAACGAAGACATACAATTTTAATACTTTTTACATGTAGCAAAATACAAGTACATGCTGAAGGTGACTACACAGTGTAAACAAATATTGTTGCAATGTATTTTCTTTAGCTGAAATTGATAAACAGTATCTTGCTCACATTTCATTCATGATAAAAGGCAAATAGTGATCAAAGAACATAAGGTTTTCAAATCTACACCAGTATTATGATTATCTTCAACATATTCTTCAGTAACACCGTACCTCATCAAACTCATAAGGGAAGTCATCCAATGCAACTACAAAGGCAGCCTTTTCAATGGCATCCAGCGACTGACGATTCAACCCCTTGAAAAAGAATTCCCGGCGCACTGCTGCCCAAGCTGTTCGCTCTCCTGCAGTCAAAGCTGCCAACTTTTCCTCTCCTTTGGCTGGCAGTGATTCATCAGACAGTATCTGCTCAAGCTGCCTGCAAAATAAATGTTGTTTTGCAATGAATTCCCAACTTGTAGAACTAATAACGCTTTACATCACATTTCACAGTTGCTTTCATTTCTTTTTCTTATATGGCTCTCCGGTCCGTATTCGATCCATGGACTCCTCAATTCTCCTCTTCCATTTGGTCCTCTGTTAGGTCCGTCTGTCCGAGTGCTTTCATTTCTTATATTAATTAACATCATCATATCAGACATTGACATGTTAGAATCATTATGAATGATGTGATGCAAAAACTGTGGGAGGTGCCTGTGGCATGCACTTCCAAAACGGTCTCAGAATGGATCTGGAGAAACTGAGGAAATGCACAAAACTGTCAAACCCAGTGCCTCATGAACGTACTACATTACACAATGTGGATTGTTGGATTTGTTTTACCTTGTCTGTCATCTGATGTTATAAAATTACACAGCATTTTGAGGACTGATCTGTCCTTGTCTTCACGTGTGGTAAAGGGAAAGACAAGGACAGATCCAGTCCTCAAAAAGCTGTGAGATTTTATAACATCAGACGATGGACAAGGTCCCAAAACCCAACAATCCATATTGTATTACGCTATTGTCATAACCCTTTAGAATAGACCATTATACAATGTTTTGTCAAACTCTTCATACTGGCTGATTCAATAAGCAACAAAATAATGTAAATAAAGTTGTTAATTACAAAAAGAAAACAATACAACAATTTTTGTATCCCATTATTCCTTCAACGTTCGATGAATTATACCAAAGAAAGAACAACATTATGAGACTTACTATTCTTAAAGCATTAACAATACCAGTCTTCATCAGGTTCTTAACAAAACAATTTTTTTAAATAACCACTTTTACAGACCAAATTAAAACAAAAGTGCACTGGTGCCTGTGTCTGGATAAGGAGGCAGAACAGATAAATGTGACAGCAACAAATAACAGGTTCAACATCAATGACATTAAGAAATCTTATGAGAAGCACAAGACAGTGAAAGCCGTTAGTACAGATACCTTCCCTGATGGGACAACATTTGTAGATCAGCATTTTCAGAATAATATAAGAGTGGCAAAATCTGTCATCACGCTCAATACAGACATTTTGTTGAAAGACTGACAAGCCTAAGGGTCACATCAGTCACAGCATTTCGGATCTCAGCTTTTGTTCTCATAATTATTACTCAAACATTTTTACAATGTTAAAGTCTTATTTTTAATAAAACATTTAAGCAAAATTATAATCTCATTTGTGGAGTCCAAATCTTACCTTGATTATGAATGATACATATTTTTCATTATACCAGCAATTATTTCCGATTTAATTCTTTTAAACTACTGGTTATAAGTAAATGACCACAGGGGATAAAGGAGGCCAAAGTGTGAAGGTGACAAGTCTCATTTCTCCCATTTCTTAATGCTGGAGTATTATCATGGCCTGTGCGCATAACGAGGCTTCTTACAGGCTACCTTAAATGTTCTATTAAACACAATATTGCCTTAAAAATTATTGTGAATACTGACTGGTCTTGTTGAAAATGTCATGGAAATGAAAAATGCCAAACTGAATCACATTCCTCATGTAAGTAAATGTGGAATTCCCTGATTACTTCTAGCTTGATCGCAAGTGTTACTCCACTTGTTCATTGTCTGTGTTATAAGTTGACTTTAAATTATCTGTTCATGGGTCATATTTAAATTGTGACTACTTAAAGTAATTTTTCACTATAATTTAAAATGAGAATAACAAAATAAAAAACAATGGAAAAGACTGTGAAAGTTGAAGGAAAAGCAGGAGAAAGTCAAAGAAAGGAAGTAAATATTTTAAGGACAGTAAGGAAGCATCAAGGACACAATAAAAATCATCTAAATAAGGCCTTGAGCACTGACAAATCTAATCTAATACAAAACAAACTGCAAGCAAAAGCTTACTGCTGTAATTCTGAATACCAAAGGTTACTCTGAAATACCACTGTTCACCTGCCACTGCTATCTGTCGCTGTTCTAAGAGACCACATACTATTGGATGCGTATGTTACATGCTTTGACCCCCCGCATAAAAAGCCATACACATTGATAATATTACAGCATGAGCAAATGAACACTTTACATCCAAAACTGTAAATGGTTATGCTTGCTGCAGTTCACTTGTTGCATTACATCTTTCACAGTGCCCAAATTCTGACTTCATTCTTTTCTACAGATGACAAACTTACATTTGAATTTCACAAGATCTGAGGATGCGACCACGAAAATATATGAACACCTTAAAGTATCTTCCTTTGTGATATACAACAATGTGTTTTGAGTCTGTGTGGTGAACTATGCGATCTGTCTCCATTCCAGGAACTCTGGTCGTGTTAAATACACGTTCATACTGCCACGAACACAATGGCACTAGCCCTTGGATCAATATCTGCAACATTAATGTAATAAGTTATTACACAACATGACAAAAAATAACATTTTGCCACATGTATAAAAATAGTTGGATCTTAGGTTTTCAATGCTGGGATAATGATTATCTTAATTTTGTCTATCACTCCCCAGGTCTGACCGAACCAAAACTGAAATGTGGACTAATTCAAACATGCAGCAATGACATTAAAATAGAAACTGAATATTTAAATCACCGAAAATGTACCTCCTGATAATTTACACTTGTCTAGCATTATGCACCCTCAATGACAGGGCTACATTTGCCCTGATATTGATTTTCCATCACGGATATTTCTCTTGAAAGCATTCAACACGTGCATCACTAACAGCACCAATGTTTATCAGGGTAACATCAAGATGTGGGTCTCAGAATATGCACTTAATGACATTGCACTTCTCATGACTTTGCAGACATGCTTCTAGAAGCACACCTTGTTTTAATGAGAAATGAATTTTCCATCCTCAGCCATACCATTCGAAGGGACATAATATAATTTTGCACTGCCCAGTTGGAAACTAAGGAGATGTGCAATCATTTTCATGCCTCCACAGACATGCTAAGAATATTACGGCATTCAACAAGATCCACTTGGCCAACCTGTCAGACGTCTTACACACGCAATACAGTACAAGTAATGGGCCCATATCTTGCACTAATACTCTAACTTAGAACAACAAGCTTAGAAAGTGTGTTTGGTACTGGAATACACATAATATCCTGATGCTTTCTTTACAATGTGAATGTATAGGAATTAAATCCGCCTTCTTAGAGATTTCCCAATTTGACCACCATATCGCAGCACCTCAATATCTAACTCATGATTTTCCTTATTTCATTTTGTAATCACCAATCACAGGATATTCAAAAGTAAAATTTTGAGGTCATATAGAATGGAACAAACTCCACATCAAATTTCAACCAAATCTGTCGACTAGTTCTCGAGTTGAATTGACTGGACAGACACAATCAGCCCATAATGTGGTGTCCCTATGCACTTCCAGCACAGAATGCATAAAAATTAAGTTTGTATCATATCCCTGCATATCACACATGTGTGCTCTTTGTTTACTTATCAATAGCCTCTCCAAAGTTTTGCAACCACCAAACAGTGGTCAGTATCACAGCCAGCACCTCTAAAAGAATTTCTCCATTAGGAAAACTCCAGGTGTATTTATAAATTTTGCAACATGGGAACATTGTACCCTCAAAAACTAAAGTTTCTGATGTCGCAAAGTTTACTAACCTCACCCCATTATTATTATTACTTTTGTCTAAGCTCTCATTCCCAACTGTTGGTTTGAAAATATCTTCCCTCTGACTTTTCATTAAAATCTCCTAACAAAATGACCATGTGATGCTCATCAGGGAAACTGAATACATGCTCTAGTTCCTCATAAAAGCTGCTCTTCATGTCATCACATATATCCTCAGTTGGTGCATGCGCATCCAGAATAACAGTATCGCACCAACACACTCTTCAATCACAAAGAAACTGTACCCTCTTAACTGCTCATATGATCCCCTTACATATGAAAAATCCTGTAGCTGAGCGATGATCAGTATTCTCATATCCATAGTATGTATAATCATCTGCTGGTTCAGTGCCACCCTCGTCCCATCAGACTTTCCATCCTCCCACTAAATCTAGCCTATATCTTGCTGATTCTCTTGATATTGTGTTTAAAGAACCTGACCTATGGAGACTCCTGACCTTTACTGGCCTTTGTGTTCAAAACATAACATAGGTTAACATACAGGCTCCAGTTCCTGGCGTTCAATGAGGCGACGGAACTGCAAACAGATGCTGATGACAGTTGCAGCACGTGCTGCTTGGGTACGTACAGGGTTGATCAAGATAGCGTCAATACCATAGAAGTTTGAATTGACGACAAGAGGGGAGCGACCACGCAGGTACACATATTCCTCCCACCAGTCTGACACATAGTTAGTAGCCCACCTGTAAACACATGTCACACCACGACTGTAAGAGAATGCAAAAATATTCTGTTGTCTGACACAAGGACTTAAGTTATAGCCTGAGTACTCCAAAAATTGTCTGTAAATGTTTCACATACCTAATTAATATAATAATAATATTTTATTCAATCAGGGAAAAATCTGTTAAACAAAAAAAGTGTTCTTTAAATTCATACATATTTTTCAATATTTTCCTTCATCTCGTTGTTTGGTTAAAAAATAAAAACAAAAGAAAACTGTCTGTCAGTTTCCAAAACATTATGCTATAACTAAATAAACAGGATGAAGGAAAAAAATCCCTGCCTCTCTTTAAAAAGAGAACCCAAATAACTCGAGGGCCTTGCGGTACTCAGGTGAAAAAAATGCTGCAACGAACATTGCAGAAAATTCTCACACTGCGGTAGACACATTTTAAAAATGTCAACTGAATGCACCTTTGTCTTAAAACTGAGTAAATTAAGCTTTAATATAAAAAAACACTGTCTAGAAATGTTAAAATTGTTTTCAATGAAGTGTTTGACAGTTTGGATGTTCTTATGGTCCATGTCCGACCTAATGCAATTCAAACAGAGAAAATTCTCACGCTGCATTCTTTCAATACACATCACATTTTTCTGGCGTGTAACCCTGACATGTAGAGGACCCCCTGAAAAAATTATTATCACATGACACACTGCACCGATATGATTTCAGTAAAAGTGAAGACAAGTATATTTTAATTCTTACAAGCCGTAATGCAGCACTTTCTACAGAAACAACCAAACAACTTCTAACGCCGAGACAAAGTGCAATGATAATATTAACTCACCATGACTTGAGAACAAGGTAACGCTGCAGTTTGGCACCAATTCCTCTCTCAAATTCACTAGCAAGCTTGTGCATCCTCGAATAATCTTCTTCACTCAGCAGAGGTCGCACACCCCGCAGATACTACAAATAATTACAAAGTCAGCCTCATGTCTAATAATGGAAAAAATCATTACATATAATAAAATTATTATTTACACAGAAATCCGAGAAAGATAACAGAATAAAATTAATATAACAAGACCACACAATATCCACACACAAGTCAAGTAAACAAATTGAAAATTATAATTACCAGTGAATGGATTTCTGGTACTTTTCTTTCTTGAGGATAAACAGTAAACTCATGAGATTACAATGTTTCTGAATGTTTGTTCCCCATACAACTTCTAAACAAATGGACTGATTTTCATCAAACACGGTATAATTTTATGCCAATGGGTGCAAATCCAAACCTCATACTTTCTCATTTGCAATTGATAATAAGACCATGGAGGCTGCATGAACCTGTGAGGTGAGTGTGGCACTGGGACCATTTAATACAGGGTCTGAGTTGATGCATGGAAGCACATCAACAAAACAGTGGCCACATAAATGTTTCCTTTAGATTTCAGTGACAGTGATACATAATGAACTGCTGTGAAACTCGGCATTTTACAAGCATGAAGAATGTAAGTAAAGTTTGTCCCACTATACGCCATGTAGGCGCTTGGGGGGAGAGGAGGTATAGCTCCTCTCTTCCTTGACCTCGGCACTAGATGGGGGTGAGTGGTCAGCATCACTCCCCGGCCGGCTTTACCCCCGGGAAAGGACCCCGGTACCCATTGCAGAGGAGGCTGGGTGGGCCCCAGAGCCGGTCTGGACGCAGAGGCTAGAGGAAAAATCCTCTGCCCCTGTCGGGGATCGAACCCCGGTCGTCCAGCCCGTAGCTAGTCACTATACTGACTGAGCTATCCCGGCTCACAAGCATGAAGAATAGTTTAAGTAAACAACTATGTATATCACAATGGCGCGGAACATTTAGGTAACTTCTAACAATATTTATATCAAAAGTATCTGTGTGTAAATACACAGAGTGACAAATAAAATATTCACACATTTATTTTTTTAACACATAATATAAGGAACAAATACCAAACTTTGCCTGAGAATTCAGTAGTTCACAGAGATTACTGTAGTTGGTAGGAGAATACTGTGCTGCTACTGATACAGCCGAAGCAAGTCAGTCTGTAAGATGGCAGATAACAGGAGTCCAATTGTCACACAGAAAGCAAAAGCAGTCGTTTCATTCATCTCTCTTTTTTTGTTGCATAAACAGAGTGCTCCTATAAGGCAGAGATGTTTACATGAACATTTCAGCACCAGGATTTAGTTAATGGCTGCATTTACTACATACAGTTAACTTCCCAATTGCACTACAGGACTCTGCAGTATGTTTCATTTAACTTGCCCAATCCCTCAGTAATTCTCAATGATATTCATCTCCCACTAGCACAACAGATCAAGCCAAACTGAAATATCTGTTGTCACAGATATCTCCACCATTCATACTGCTTTGGGATTTGAACCCTTTAAAACACAGGTGCAGACATGCCTCAAGTCAGGAACCTCATCCACCCAGAGTCTATCTTGTACGGTTCATTATTTCCTATTTATACCCAGTAAATATCCACATTTCTTTGCAATGCCCAATTGATTTTCATCTGAATTGTGTCATAAAATACACTGACTGGGAGGAAAATTGTTCAGTCAGTCAATCATTCGAGGATCAGAAATTTTCATCCACTGATAACATTGTGGAATATTTCACAATCTCTTTATTCCAAGGCGTGCCTTCCCACACCTACCAACCATCCACGAGACATTGTGCGCCCGTTCCTTGCTGGAAAGATGAGTGTTGTGATGCTACACATGCTTGGAGAAAAGTTCTACAGCAGTTCCAAACCTACTTTATGATGGACAACCTGACCTGCTTCAAACATCTCAATGCTGAAGCTCAGCACACTGTACACGAAGCACATAATACGGTATTTGTCTCTAGGCTTTCCTGGCCTGTATATCTGGATGTCATATGGAACAAACTATGGCAAGCATCAGGTAAATGCAACTGGACTTCAAAACATGGCATCTCTTCTGGCAGAGCAATCATTATCTCCTGGACATAGATAATAAATTCTCTTCTTCTTCTATGACTCTCCAGTCCGTATTCGGTCCATGGCCTCCTCAATTCTCCTCTTCCATTCAGTCCTACTGTTAGGTCCATTCTGTCCGAGGCTCTGATTGAGGTTTCAAAACATCTGATAATAAATTACCCTGACCATTTTCATATATGTACATTTGTGACCATTATTATGATGATTCCCCGAAAGTTATAATAGATGGTGCAGAAATGTCGCCTCTGAATTTCACTTCTTGAGTCACCAAAGCTAATTTACATTTTACCATGTTAGATTAACTACTGTTTTTGCACATAACCTTTAATTGATTGGCCTTCACGTCAATACAAGTTCCTACCTAACCGTCATACTCTGTTTCTCTCTGCCTTCCATGTCTCTTTTTCTTTTCCTCCCCTTTCATATTTTTTAGTTATTTTTTCTCCTTTTCTATAATGAAAATGTGGTCTAGCGATTAGAACCCTGGGCTTGTAATACTGGGGTCCTGGGTTCGATTCCCGGCGGTGCTCAGATTTACAACTTGTGTTGGGCAAGGCCGTGGTCTAGGCATCTCGGAGTTTTCCTCCGGGGTTTCCCCAGTTTCTCCCTGGCATCCCAACAATTACTCCACTTTCATCACCATCTCGCAAAAAGGGGGTCAGAGCAGGAGCGTTAAATGTTGCGGTCCTGATCGAACCCATGTACTGATGGGTCATGAATCCTGCTAACCACCAATGCACACCATGCTGAATGGTGTGTATTGGACACGAAAAAAAATGAGAATAAATTCCAAATAATACTATAGCACAAGATGTTAACAAGAAGCTTTGTTCTGAAATAATTAAGTGTGCTTTTTACTTCTCCATATAAAAACATAAAATTATGACCTTTGCTAAAATGTTGGAAAGTCTTGAACAGTTGATGCAGACTATCCTCCAAAACCGAAGCTTCCATCCTTGTTAAAACTTTATAATTTTCAGAAACAGACTTAAAATTCTCTATTTTCCATGTACCTTTTCAACGCAAAAATAAATGTGATACATTTCTGTAGACATGTTTATATTTATCACCATCACCTTCATAGAGCCAGTTAACGTGAACTGGGAAGGATGAAGACCTGTGCATGCAGTTTCCCACAGTTACATGTGGGTGTTGCCCTGAGTTTATTACACAATATGAGCAATAAATATTATGATGTGTCTATGACCTCCTGGAAAATACTGGATGCTTAAATTCTGTTCATGCTCACATGCAGAACATTCTGCACGTGATGCCAAGAGCCACGCAAAAATGGAAATTTTCCACGACATCCAGTGACAGAAAAAAACCACACGAATCCATGTCACAACCACTGCTGTAGTAAAATTTATGTGCCAGTGCATAAACCATTTGCACTGATGAATCAGAGAAAATCAATGCATTTCAGGACACAGACTGACAAAGTCATCAAGAGATTCTGTACACCAGTGGTCCCCAACCTTTTTGTGCCTACGGGCACATTTGATTATTTATGAGATCGTGGCGGGCACTAACCAATTAACAAAGCCAAATTTTCTTTTCTCTGGACAAATAAGATATGGACACCAAATAATACACAAAACAACATGACGTTTAATGATACAAGAAAACATGCAATCAAAAATACGTAGTTTTATAAGTACAATTATTATTACTCAAGTGGGAAGTTAGTGTGATGTTTGGCACTGCATTTCATTGGGCAGTTTTTTCAAATTTGGGAGTGTAGGATGATGTTGCTGCTCACAAACAATCGTCAAGATGGACATCAGTAAGTCAAGATCTGCGCTTTGATTTTATAATGTTCGTGGTTGAACGGCCTTCATTATTCAGTATAACCTCTTTCCGTAACAACGTGGGCACCCAAAAAAAAGCCTTGGCGGGTGCTGCGTTGGGGACCACTGCTGTACAGGGTGCAACAGTGACAGTTTCAGTCTAGTAACTTTCTGAAATCAAGTCTCATGAATGAAACCACTTGTTTAGAGTTGATTTCATTATTCTTTTAACATGAGTACAAAACTAATTAGAAACATAAATCTTACCCTGCTCATGGTGTCCTTGAGAGACGGAAGGGGCAGGCGTGGAAGAGACCCTTGGTAGCTGTAGAGCAACGGCTTGCTACCACCGGAGAGAATTTTTACAAAAAGGAACCAAATCATGGTACACCTGGAAATGACACGACCCTTCCCTCGCTGCTCATACATCCAGCCTTTGTACATGAGAAGTATCTTGAGCAAGTAGCGAATTGAGTAGATTATTGCAAGCCAAACAATCAAGCCCAGTAGCGTACATGCCACTAGCTCCCACAGCAGCGTTGACCTAACATCAAACAAACATTAAAGGGTGAATATCATATAATAGTATGCTGTACAATCAATACAGGCAATATCCAATTCTGTAGGTTTCTAAATTATAAACGGGCAACGGGTTTGGTTACAGAATGACTTGAATGTACAAATACATACGCTGGCAACAGCATCAAGACTATATGGACAGACGTGTGAATTATCCCGTATTTAGCGAAGTGCACTGCTGCCAAAATGGCAACAATTGCCCAAAGGCTCTGTAATGGAGCTGGATAGATCCCATTCTTGATATTATTCTGAAAAAGAAAATCGCATACGTTAGTTCTTACAAAATAAAAGTAGAGAGAAACGAAAAAAAGAAATCATGAAAGAAACAGACACACATTCTAATAAATAAGAAAAACATCAATAAGTTTTATTAATACTGTAAAACTGTTTCTGTCTCTTGATGGATTCTTACTCACAAAATCCTTGCTGATTCTTTCTCTGCATAAGTAATGTGGTACTCATGCACACTACAAGACATTTAATTTCTTTATGAATAAAGTTTGTGGCTAACTCGCATGCCCACAAGTGTAAGATTTGTTTACAGAACACTTTAAAGTATGAGCACATTTCTACACCAGCAAGGTTTACAAATTTAGAGGAAACTTTTTTCAGTGCACATTTATGTATGGAACTGCACAATAACATACATCACAATGTTAATATACACCAGAAGTTCTAGAGAAACATCTTCATAAAACATTCTGCAGTACCATCTACTCTGTATGCTATAACCTTCATTACTGGGCTTGAACAGCATTAATTGTTTAGAAGTACCAAACTTTTTGATTAAATAAAGTAAAGTTTGTGCCATACAGGCACTTGGGGTGAGTGGTCAGCATCACGCCCGGCCGACTTTACCCACGGGAAAGGACACCGGTACCCATTGTAGAGGAGGCTGGGTGGGCCCCACAGCCGGTCTGGACACAGATGCTAGAGGAAAAATCCTCTGCCCCTGTCGGGGATCGAACCCCGGTCGTCCAGCTCGTAGCTAGTCACTATACTGTCTGAGCTACGCCGGCTCATAACCTTTTTGATTAACAATGCCAAATGTAGGTTCACAGTGAGCCAAATCCTTCAAATTGGTAAACTTGGTATGAAACCCAGTTTTGGGGTTAAGGACGATCGAGTCTGTTACTTCATGTGTGCATGATTAATTTACATTCTGTTTCCATGTAACAGACGATATTCTGCATTTAACAGATACTGGAGAAAAACAATTGGAGTACAATGACTCTGTTATGAGACAAGTACTGCATAGAATCCCAACAAATTCAACAAACTAACAAAACTAGTTATGGTATAGAAGGAACCTACTGTAAAATGCAAATGGGTAAACATTTGTCTGATGCATTTCCTGTTCAGAATTGTCTAAAAGGAAGACATGCTTTATTGCAATTGCTTTTTCTTGCTTTAGTATATGACACGAGGACGGGCGCAAGAAAGTCAGGAGAGACTGAAAATGAAGAGGACACTTCAGCTCGTGCTGATGATGTTAGTTCAATGGCTAGAAACATGAATACCACGAAAATAGGAAGGTGTCTCATATACCAGTGTGACATATGAGAACTGCAAAAAAGTTTAATTATAAATAATCATTAATTAAAAAAGTGTTAACAAAGGCACATTCAGTGAAGATATGTTACCCAAACAAAATAATTAAAATACCCTGTTGAATTTTCCATGTAATAATGACAAATCTATACAAACATCATTGAAGTTAAATATGAGTGTAACATTTTTACCTTGAATCTAGCAAGCCGTTTCTTCCACGAGCGAATTCCAGACTGCCAGACCAGGTGCAGGACTTCCCGATCAAAGTTGACATCCCAGCCTTCGTGAGTGATAGAGAAGGAGAACGCAACAGCTGAGTGGGCTTCTGCCATCCCGTGGTCAGCTAAGCAGCTGGAACAGACACAGGCGATGTCATCACACATGAAAACTGCTTCATAAATTAATCTATATCAGAACAATAAGTCAGATCTGACGTTCTCACAGTCATGAGGATAATTGGTATCCACTGTTCGTCAGGCAATTGAAAAGCTTTGACCTTGGCAGCACGGAAGGCCGACAGCAACAACGTGTCTAAAAATCGATGCAGTCCAGTTGAGAAAATAATGCGCCATATTTTGTGTCTTCTATTTGTTTACGACATAAAATGAACACTTTACAAATGACCAGCAGTCGAAAGAAGGGCAAAACCATGCATAGGGAAGCTGTGGAGATGATAAACCAAGTGTATGTCAACTACCAGTGTAAACGAGGAGTGGATTTGACCTGCAGACGAAGGAACATCAAATTATTGTGAAGTGTCAGAGTCAACAATGAAACTAATTTGAAAGAAGAACAGAAAGAAAAATGATCCAGTTTTAAGCCTTGTAAAGCAAGATTCGTGCATACCCAGAACAACGCTGGCACTGCCAAGGCCAAACGTTTTCTTCTGTATCTACGAATGCACTTAGGCATCTCAATGTAAAACAAAAGTCAGAAGAACAGCAGCGAGCGCGCGCGCACACACACATCAAAAAGAAACCAGTTTCTGGAAGTTGCCTCAACAGTACAAGTGAAGTGACTCTTCACAGAAACTGCTTCACAAAACCGAATCCCATTGTAGTCCCAACTCGATGTTTACAGATGTTTTAAAATAACAGTTACATGCCCGAAGTATAATTCTTTCCCCAAAGAAATAAAATACCCCATTTTAAGAAATACGTGGTCAAAGGATAACTGTAGTGAATATGCATTGGTGACTGTACAATGATGAATATACAGGGTGATTCTAACAGGACTTTACAACTTTCAAAGTGTATAGAAATTTAATCAGAAAGCTTACAGAATCAGTTAATGTGTCATTTTGTAGCAAAACAAATCAAGTTTGACTCACGTTGTGCTGTAGAAACGAATTCCGTCACCGCGAGCGCAAGCGGCAGTGCATTTCAAAATGGCTACTTTCACAGGTGCGGATCGCGCTCGCTGTGTGCTTTGGTTTGAAGAAACGAAATTGGAGACAATGGTTCAACGGAATTTTCGCACCCAGTATGGCAAGGATCCTCCCAGTAGACCTATAATTTACTCTTGGCACAAGAATTTTGTTGAGTCTGGTTGTTCTGTTCGCCATGACAAATCTCCAGGTCGCCCGCGTGTTTCTGATTCTGTCGTGGAACGAGTGAGAGAGAGATTTGTCCGTAGTCATGCGAAATCAACGCTGGAGACAATGGTTCAACGGAATTTTCGCAC